CAGCCCCTAATCCTCTGTCCGAAGCCTAAACGGTGAAGTCGACGCAATTATCAATATTGGGGCTATATGAGCTATAGTCTAAACTCCTTAAAGGGGGGTTATATAGGGGATCATATAGGGTTTAGGATTTAGGGTTTAGGATTTAGGGTTTAGGGTCTAGGGTTTAGGGTCTAAACTCCTTAAGGGGGGATTATACAGGGGATTATATAGGGAACTACTATAGGGGTTATTAATGGGGATCCTAGGAGTTTAGACTATGGCTTATATAGTTATATGTCTTTCTATGATTTTTTTTGTGGTATAGGTATAGGGTACCTCAAACGGGCGTCAACATGATGCTGGTAAACTATTCAGTCCCCGCAATACCTTAAACGCAAAACTCTAAGTTTAGGTCCTTTGCTGCACTCGCTTCTACTGTTGAGCCATCCGGAATGCAAAAGACACCAGGTGCTTCTTGGCAAAGATTAGAGAACGCAAGGTTTAGGGCTACCGCTCAAAGCTCTAGCGCAGGGTTTCTACGATTGAGGGTGCAAGGTTGTCTTCTGAGCATCAAGGGGATAGATTCTTTGGGTACAGCAGAAAGGGCAATTTGTGTTAAGCTTTCTTCTAAATTACACCACCGGTGTTTTCTGGTGGTTCACATGGATCCTGGTAGTTTGTGCGGTATCATGGGCGGACGCTGGTTACGGAACCCATGCTCGATTTTCCCTGCATCCCTGAACCCCTAGACCCTAAGCAATCTATACACCTGGCTTCTAGGCATCATGCGCAATCTGGTGCGATAGGGAATAACGTGGCTAGGGTTCTGTTGAGACAATGCGACTACCTGTCGCAGGCGCCTTTTTACATGTGCGCAGTGTGCAGCAGGCTGGTTCCCATAGCATGTCCATATAGGGTTTCGGGTTGAGGGAGGGGTGGTAGAGAAGAGATTGGACTTTGAAACTACCCAGCTGTAGCTTCAAGAAAACCCAAACCCAGAACTATGCGTGTATACATGTATGTATATATATATATGTCTTTGGTACAGATGCGTGACCTATCTGTCCGTAAAAGGCTTTGCACGCTTTACACGGTATATGCATCACCTTCATATCCCTCCGTAAACCCTTAAGGCGAAACCAACCCTCAACCTCAAATCCTCAACCCTAAACCCTGATCCCCAAACACTAAACAAGGGTTTAGGGTATAGGGTTTAGGGTTTAGGGTAATGGGGCCAGCAGTTGTGCTTTGACTCTAGTTGACATGAGCGAATAAAGGCACCAATCGATTGTATGGGGTTTATGTGGGGGTGCTTCAGGGGTTAAATAGGGGTTATGTCGGGATTACATAGGGGTTACAAAGGGGTTGCGTAAGCCTCATACCCAGAACCCCGCCAATAGCAATTCCTCACAAATTCAAAGTAGTCTTCCCCTCATACATGTAGCTTTGCTAGGGTTTTCGGGCATGCGGACTTAGCATTTCTTGTTAATTAGAGGAGCTCATTATCAGGTGAAGCCATTGTAGCGCAGAAGCCCGAATCGTTCTCCCCTCGCACCATTTGTGTATTGCTGCAGTTCTAGCATGATTTACCCACAAGCCCAGTTCTACTGAGTCGGGCCTCTGCCAGCCCCTGTACAAACATCGTGTCGATTGAATTTCTCGTATCGTTGCCCTAAACTAGAAACGCTACTCCCTAGCCTAACTATTTTGGCCCCCAGGCCATAGCCAAACCAAACTCCAAGCCCACAGTAATGTTTACGTTATTCTTTTTCTTCCATCCCTATATAAACCCTCTAGGCAGACTCGCGATGAAGGCCTCACCTAACACCTCCTTATTTGGCTGCCTAAGGTCTCATGTGGTCTCAAAATATGGGACCCCCATATTTGGAGCCCCATAATGCTTCATCACACCTGAAACCCTAGCCGTTAAAACCAAAACTCTACAACTCTTGACCGCGTGGGTGCTGAGGACAGTCGCCTGCCCGCGCTTCTTTCTGCAGCCAGGTAGGGCGCCAATTCGGTGTTCAAGGGTTTGAGGTTTCGGGGGTTTAAGACTTTGAGGGTTTAGGGGCTTGTCGGCTTTGGGATGTTTAGGGGCTTCGAGGCTAAGAGTTCTTTGATCTAAGGGCTCAATCGTTGAGAGTTTAGTTCCTGACTTAATCAACTTGGTAGGGATTTTGGGAGTAGGATGCATGGCTTTGCTCTGCAGGAGTTAGGGTCTACCTTGCTGTCTTTGCCTCTGTGTGGGCAACCCTAAGCCCCAAACCCTAAACTCTGAACTGAAAACGCTAAACCCTAAACCCTACATTGGACATGTAGGAGTGGAGCCACTTTCAGCTCTGTGATGCATTGTCGTCCTGCTGTCAGTACAATCAGTTACAGGTCGAACTAGGGGAACTAATATAGTATATTGGGGTTATATAGGGATAATAGAAAAGAAAATGGAAACTACTATAGTATATTGGGGTTAGGATTGCTAACGTCCTCCAACAATCGGTTTGATGCACATGTTGATCCACGCGAGCCTGCAGAGTGCTAGGCCAAATTTTTGGAAAGTGTACAAGCGGTCTGAGCAATTGTGCGTGCCTGCAAAAAAGGAAAAACAGCAATATCGTAATGATATTACAATACAGTAATAATAAGGAAAGACTATACTAGTAATATAGTAATAATATAGTAATATGGGCCCAGGTCCTCCAACTACAAGCCGCAGGTGATTTGCCAGGGTTTAAAGCTCAAGGTTCATGTTGAATGAAGCATCAAAACCCATACAGCCTTTTTTTGAAAGGACAGACCTCAACCCAAAACTTTAAAGCCCTAGAAGGACATTTTTTTGGGACTTCCATGTTTGTTTGGGAAGGGGGGGGGGGTGGTACGTGGCTATATGTCATCCTGCAAGCTAGCAGAGTGAGCTGATAATAGTCATATATCAGGACTCAATACTATAGTAGTTTCTGTTTTCGTTTCCATTATGATTACAGTTGTTGTTATTAGTAAGAACACTATTATAACACTAACAGCATTAGATGATACTGATGTATGTGTGCGGTGTGAGGTATCTTGCGTACAGGCATGCCCATCCAACCTTAACCCTAAACCCTAAATCCGCCCCTTAGCAATGAGTAGTGCCAACTGGTGTTGGCTGAAGTTTTCAGGTTGTTGGGGTGTAGCCATGAACCCTCAAAGGGGGTTTAGGGTTCAGGAGACGCAAGGTTCCGACTTCTGATTTAGTGTTCAGTTATAGTATATTGGGGTGATATAGGGATAATGGAAGAGGAAATGGAAACTACTATAGTATATTGTGGTTAGGATTGTCAGTATATTGTGGTTAGGATTGTCAGTTACGGTACGAGCTTCCCTGGACAATCTTGTTCCCAGCAGTGTTCGCGGCGTCCTGAGTCTCCTGGACCAGACCCTAAACCCCATAACCCCAGTGTCAGTGGTGGAACCTTCATGGTGCCGGCCTTCCCTGGAAAGCATTCCCTGGATCCTAAACCCTGATAGGTCCTAAGCCCAAGACCCCTCCCTAAACCCTGAACCCTGAACCCTAAGCCCTAAACCCTGAACCCTAAACTACCCTAAACCCTGAACCCTAAACTACCCTAAACCCTGAACCCTAAACCCTAACAGTCCAGGATCTGTGGGTCCTCACCCCTGCACAAAGAAGAGCAAGACTCAGAGGTGCAGCCCCCGAACGAGGGCCATGGTTTGGGATTTGAGGCTTATCGGGCTTAAGGTGTTTAGGGTTTCGGGTTTAGGGTTAGGGTTTAGGGTTAGGGTTTTGGGTTTCGGGTTTAGGGTTTAGGGCTTAGGGTTTCGAAAGCCCACAACTTTGAACCGCTACTGTATAGTGTGTCTTGGACAAATAATTACGATACTTGGGCGCTAATGCTAGAGTTTCAACAGCTGAGAGTGGAGGGCTTGGGGCTTAAATCGGTTAGTTGATGGCAAGCAGGGTGCAAGATTGGTTGGGCATAGCTTTAACGGTTTTGGTTCAAAGGCTTGGGGGTCAAAGGCTTGGGGTTGGGGTTCAAAGCCTTCTAACATTCTAACAACTACCTTAGACCCTGAGCTTTATGATAGTTTCCTTTTCCTGTAAACCCTAAGCTTCTATAGTAGCTCCCATTTCCTTTGCTGCTCCGACAATATAACCCCCATATGAGCTATAGTCTAAACTCCTAGTATCCCCCTTAATAACTGTTATAGTAGTCCCCTATATAACCCCCTATATAAACCCCCTTAAAGGAGTTTAGACTATGGCTCATATGTGTAGTCCCTGAATCGATGTACCACCCAGCGAGCCTCGAAAGTATACACCGTCGACCGTCAACGAGCTGCATCCCAAGCCCTAAATTTTAGGGTTTAGGGTTTAGGGTTTCGGGACCCCAAACCTTGGGTACTGCCCCCCCTCAGTAACAGTTGGATAATAAGTATAAATTGGCTATATATAGCCCTGAATAGGACCCCCTAATATCGACTGTTACTGGGTGGGGGCAGTGCCCAACCTAAACCCTAAATCCTTAGCCCTAAACCCTAAACACTTGGCCCAGCCGAAGCATTTAGCCACTTGAGCCTAGCAACCCTGTAAACCCCAAAGTGCCGAAGCCCTTGAAACTTCAGAGCACCTAGCAGTGCAGCGCCCCAAGGTAAAGGGTTTAGGGGTCTAAGCGACAAAAAAGAAAACCAGGCAGATTCACAGGGTATATATTGGGAATATAGGGGGAGAATGGAAGCTACAATTTAGGGTTTAGGGTTCGTAGGTTTGTACAGGAATGTGTCATTACGGAATGGAGTCGCAAGGGCATCGAAATTGCTACAAGGTTTAGGGTTTAGTGAATGAAAAAGAAGATGAACACAACTAGTGGGGAGTGTTGAAGGGCTACTATGGGGATCCGTTCCTTCATTCCCTCCCTGAGTACTTGGAGGTCCGTTGTACTTGTAACCTACTTAGTAACTGTAGTTACAACCTACTTAGAGAAGACCCATAGCTACAGTGACCCTAGATAGGATTGGGCTATAACTACAGTTACTCAGTAGGTTACAAGTACAACGGACCTCCAAGTAAGGAAGGCGTGGAGGAGTGGATCCCTGTGATGATCCTTATATGGGTGGTTGTCAAAATTATGGTCCCTTTTTGGATCCCTATTATAATACGGCACCTAATATTTAGGTACCCACTGACAACCACCCATATGACCCCTGTATCCAGGCCCCAGCTGTACACCGCTGACAGACACGTGGGGAACAGCAGAATTGACATTTCTTGGTCACATCCTGAGATCATCATGCTCCGACCTGTTAAGCCTTCGGGCAGTCAAACAACATGTTATTCAAAAAGGCTTGATCCTTTCTAATGCCGATGCTGGCGCGCAAAGAGTTTCAGCCTTCTGCAGGTGTTACGTGAGGTAACCATATCACAGTTTAAGTGATGCTCTGATTGAGTCACATGTATGTACATACTTCTTGGCGTCTGGAGTTCAGTTTGCCCGGCTTGGTAGGAGCACACAATGCTCGCTAGGAAATACAGGCCGCATTTACTATCTATGTGCACCCCCTCCCTGACCGTGAAGCACCAGTACAGTAACTCAAGTTCAAAGTTTTGGTTTTGAGGGTTTTAATGGTTCAAGTTGGAAAGGAAAAGTCTCCTTTCTGGCGGTTGGTGTAGCAAGGATCCTCCTCTTGGTGGGTGTATTGGGAGTTGACCAAATCAGTATCTTACGCCTCCTGGTAATGGCTTCGCATTACAAATGCGAGCCATGTCAAAAACGAGCCCCTGTTGTAATTTCACCCCATCTGGGAGCAGGAATTGAGGCAACCTCTTTAGGGTTTAGGGTTTAGGGCGTAGGATTTGGGGTTCACCTAAACCCTAAACCCTAAACCGGTTCAGGTTTAGGGTTTAGGGCGCTTAGAACCTAGACCCTGATGCTTGGCCCAGGTGGCAGCACAAGCGCTTGTGCTGCTTGAACTGCTGGATGGTCAAGGCCGTTTAGATGTTTTCCAAATTTACACATTTTTCAAAAGACTCTGATTTCCCAATGGGGGAAGTTGGGATTTTGGAGTTTAGGATTAAGATGTTCAGGGCAAGCAAGTAAGGGGTTCTGTGGGGAGGTCTTGCAGAGACTTTGGGTTCAGGGTTTGGGGTTTAGGGTTTAGGCCTGACAGACTTAGATCTTTGAAGCAAGCGTTGCAACGTAGACGTTTTTTCCGTGTTGCCTGCTGCACTTGTCTGGAGCTCATCCGCACATGAAGTCTGATTTGCCTGAAATAGGTCATATGGGGAGTTGTATACCTAGGAGTCATATCAGGTGTAGGGTCCTGCTACCGTAATGGAGAGTCAAATGAAACCAAAGTGGACAATGGCATGGAAACCGGGCCTTTATGTTAGTCATATGGTGAGTTCAGCATTTTAAGTTTCCATAGTATGGATAATGTGGACATAGTTCTTTTGGGGCGGGCCTTGTGCCAACTGATTTCTAGCAGTCTTTGCCATGTTGAGCAGAGATCACGCTCCCTGACTGGACTCAGGAAGTTGAGTGGGGGCATTGAAGGTGTCACAGACAAAGGCAAGCGTTCGTAAGTTGCCGTAAGTAAAAGGAAGCCAAATACAGGCCGCAAGCCCCGAACCCCAAGACCCCCTACTCTTTCTGAACTTTGAGTAATTCCTACGACCAGTTTCCATTTCATTTTTCATGTTCATTTCCATTTAATTCCCCATTAATTATGGGGGTACCAATCCCTATAGAGTCCAGGGTGATGTGTGGTACCCAGAGCCCTACACCCTGAACCCTAAACTTTAAACCCTGAACCCCAAACCCTAGACCCTGAATTCTAATCCCTAAACCTTAAACCCTAAACACTCTACACCCTTTAGCTTTGTGTGGCAGGTGTCTTGGACCGTAAACCTTAAACCCTAAGCCCTCTACACCCTTTAGCTTTGTGTGGCAGGTGTCTTGGACCCTAAACCCTAAACCCTAAACCTTAAACCATAAACCCTAAACCCTAAACCCTACCCTTTAGCTTTGTGTGGCAGGTGTCTTGGACCCTAAACCCTAAACCATAAACCCTAAACCCTACCCTT